GGAAATGGAGGTTTTGGTTCATTGAACAAAATTTCTTGGGGCACTGGGTGGAAGCTCAGTGAAAGTTTGGATTGGATCAAATATTGCCTTTTTGCTGTTTGCTTGCAAGAACTTTTGTGTTTGTTCGACGTCTATTTCTCTGCTATTGACTAGTTGGAGTGATTTCTTCGCAAAATTTTATAGCCTCTGGGTTGGGCTTGAACGTCTAGTTCTCCTCCCTTTTTGTACGCTCTTTTGACGAACGTGAAACACAAAACACAAATGTTTTTTTTATGCCCATCAGGACACAATTCATATTGCAATAGTATGAGAGAAGCCTTGTTGTCTGGAGTAGGGAAACTATAAATTTTAACATGGTTAAGTGGTGTAATTCAAGGGTATTTCTTTTAATGTATTTAAAATAGCCATGTGTTAGGACTTTGTAAGAACTTGTGAATGGGGTAGCTTCTGTATTTATAGTTAAACGTGAAATCTTTTAATGCAGAAAATGTACTACAATAACAAATGTTAATTTTGTTGGTAACCACAATGGATTCGCTTGATGTACAATGACTTTGAGAGAATGAGTTCAAATTCCATGGCAGTCACTTACTTAGGATGAGTCTTCTTGGTAAGCAAATGTTGCAAGTAGAGTTAGTTGTCCAATGAGGTTAATCATGTTCATTTTATATATCGAAAATGTCCAATTGGTATGTTGCAAAAGTGTTTAAGAAGTATGCAGTAAGTTTATGTTGCTTTCCTAGTTATTGAAATTTGAAATACATTTGATTTTTTTTTTATCTTCGATGGACTCTGCATAATTTCATGTTTTTGATGTCGATGCTGCTGCTCTACATCACCTTCCGTTTTTACTTTTCCTTATGAATGAGAAAATCGAGAGGGTTGGTTATACACAAGTAACCTAAAAAGGTTGCTGATCTCAATACATATTCTTCTAGTCTGCAATGGTTTCACAAAATTTTCCGTCAGAATGATGATTTCCAAACATACACAAGCCCCATTGCTACCTACAAGGAAAAATACTGCTTGTAGTTCTTCTAAGAATTTGTTATTTGTAGGTTACTTCTGTTCCTGAGGATGTTGGAACTGCTGGGGCACTTCGGGCCATTGCTCGCCACTTAACAGCAAATGATATATTGGTTAGACTTGAGCACTTTAAGCAGCATATGATCTATAACTCTATGTTTATTTACAGTTACATGTCCTTTGCTTGCAGGTTGTCAGTGGTGATCTTGTTTCTGATGTTTCTCCTGGTGCAGTTGCTGCTGCGCATAGGCGGCATGATGCTGTAGTTACTGCAATGCTCTGCTCTGTTCCAGTCAGTGGGTCTTCCGAGTCTGGATCAACTGGTGGAAAAGATAAGACCAAGAAAGCAGTAGTTCACAATGTTGTTGGACTTGATCCAACCAAGCAGTTCTTACTATACATAGCAACCGGTTAGCATTTTTTGGAATATCTCCATAGAATTTTATTCAACATGTTCCCTTTATGTTCTTTTTATTTCATTCCAGGTGCTGAAATCGAGAAAGACTATAAAATTCAAAAGAGCATACTCCGTGCAGTTGGCCAGGTAACGGTTACTATAACAAGGTATTCTTTGGTAAAAAAACTTCCGTACTTCTAAAACCTAGTTGTCTTTCTACTGATTACTAATGTGCTTGATTGAAGTTATCGCACCAAACCACATTAGGCCCTTTGAGGTTTCACAGTTTTGTGAAACGCTTCATTTTCGAACCTATCAATTATTTCATCTGGTTGAATTACTTTTCCTTTTTTATGTTTCGAGTTTGATTATTACATTTCATCTGGATGATGTGACTTATACATGTTTCGTGCGTTTAATGTTACTTTATCTCTTTCTTTTATGCAGATGGATATCCGAACTGATCTCATGGATGCATATATGTATGCGTTCAGAAGGTCTCAATTTAATTATCCTCCTTGTTTACTACTACAACATTAGTCATAATGATGTCTATATCCTTATGCATGTTCCATTGTATTATCTCCCAGATCTGCTTTGCAGGAGGTTCTAGATCAAAAAGATACTTTCCGAAGCTTAAGGCAAGACGTGTTGCCCTATCTTGTGCGGAGCCAGTTGGTTAGTTTGTAATGCCGTGACATATTCTATTGTGTCAACAAGTGCATATAAATTTACTGAACTAGATTAATTTCTTCAATAAATGTAGAGGTCAGAAGTTGTATTGAATCGAACACCCCAAGCGGAAGAAAATGGGAATGAGAAAGTTTCCTCCCATAAGATCCAAGCATTGATTTCACAGATACTTTCTAATTCGTCTACTACAAGCTTTCATGATCTTTATGCATATGGTGCTAATGGATCTATTCTGGTTCGAAAAACACATAAATGTTGTGTTTATATTCCCCCTAGTAGCAAGTATTGTGCTCGCTTATTTTCAATTCAAGCATACAGCGACATTAATCGGGATGTAAGTTTATTGTAGTGCTCGAACCCACTCCTTACCTTCTTGTGTTGCATCTGTTCTCGTGACTAACGTTTGATTTAATTTTTGTAAGGTTATTGGAGAAGCAAGTCATCTTTCAGGTTACTCTTTCTCTGCTCAAAATAACATCATTCATCCTTCTGCCCAACTCGGATCAAAAACCACCGTGAGTTTATAAATACCTTCATTTTTAGTATATAATTCCAAATGTTGATTCGTGCGGCATATATTGTATAGTAAAGGTCGCCAATGTAGTTTCCTTGTTCTTGTTTTCTCTTAAAAAGAAAAAATTTCTTGAGAATATGAAAGTTAAACAACAGCATAAAATGACGGTCTAGTAAGAGACCAAACTTCTTTTCAAAACCTCTAAAAGCCTCGAGGAACTGGATTAGAAAAAAGAGGGATTCCAGTCGTAAGATATCTAATGAAACTTGAGATCTCATTAAAAAAGAAAGATATCAAATATCTGAAGTTTCTTTTTGTATATTATATAGATGATCAGATCTACAAGGACCATGATTGGGAATTGTTTGATCATCTTTCTCCGAGGAAGAGGCAAAACATAAGTCCTCTTTCATTCTTCTCCATGTAAGCTTGGTTTTTATTCCAGAAAGAAAGAGAAAAAAGAAAGAAACATGTAGAGAGAATTTCCTTGTTATTCCTGAATTAATCAAATATCTGTACTTCCCGAATGATGGTTTACTTTATACTTGTGTTTATTATATTGGTCAGTCCCTTGTACTAAGTGGGATGAGGGTTTCAGGTAGGACCCCATTGTATGTTGGGAGAAGGTTCACAGATGGGTGACAAATGTAGCGTGAAACGGTCAGTAATTGGCCAACATTGCCGGATAGGTTCCAATGTGAAGGTATCATATGATCACCTATTAATTTGGGATAAAATGAGGAATTTCATTGTCTATTTGTTGTAAGAACCTTGTTAACTTTAAATTTTACGACCCTCGTCAATACAGATCGCTAATTCAGTCGTCATGGATCATGTTACCATTGGAGACGGTTGTTCAATTCAAGGTTCGGTTATCTGCAGCAATGTGCAACTTCAGGAGCGCGCTGTTTTAAGAGACTGTCAAGTAAGTATTTACAAATTATACACACGCACTCCCCCCCCCCCCCCCCCCCCCNCCCCCCCCCTCCTCGGGGCACCATCGACCCCCTCCCCCGTTCCTCTCGTGTCACGTCCTTACGTTAAACTTTCGATCCAGATAGGAGCAGGCTTTGTGGTGACTGCTGCCTGTGAGTACAAAGGAGAGGCGTTGGCTAGAAAAGAAAAATGAAGTTAGGGAGAGACAATGACATTGTATGAGGTATGTAGATTAAAGTGTTGGAAGGAAGCAGTGATTGAAATCATATAATCACAATGTTTCTTCCTTCTGGCATTTTTTTTGGCATCATTTCATTTGATAGTTCATATTTTGTTCACATTAGACAACATTTACTTAGTTTAATTATCTAGAGATTTACAAGACACAAATGGTGAGAGTTCCAAAAAATTCTGTCATTTTTCCACTGAAATGCAATCTTATTAGAGATGTGCGACTATTAGCTCAATGATAATTGGTATACATTCACTCGGTTTGAAGTTCGAGGTTCGAGGTTCGATCTTTATTAGATTAAAGCACACCACTTTTATAAGGGTGAAGAGTAGTTTTCGATCTTTTTTTTTTTTTTTTAATTCAACAATCTGCGAGAGACTAGAATCAAAGAACTAGTAGATCTAATCCGTCCAAAATGGGAATGGATTAGGGTTACGACAGATCGAGCTACAATTGTTTGAAATAAAAAAAAAAGTTAGATGGCTACAATTTTATAGTTTGAGGGTTTGATCGTAAGGTGATTTCGTACATTATTGAAATTTTTAGTTGCAACATTCTCGGGAATTATTTTCTCGACTAAAGGTTAAGGTACAAATCTCATAGAATCGTAGTTGAGGGATCAATTTTGCAATTTTTGTCAATCCAAACATAGTTTAGGGTTTAGGGTTTAGGGTTTAGGATTTAAACATAATTATTAAATTACCATCTAATTTTCTTAAATAATATCTTCTACTTGAACACGATACCCGTGTTGTTAGGTATTAATTAAGCATAGTTCAATAAACGCCCGCAGTTTCAATAATATCTTAAATTTAGTCCTGTTAAAAATAATATCCACGTGTTAAAAAATATCTATGAATTTTCAAAAGTACCATTAATAACACTAAACTTCAAAAAAGAAATTAGAAATTATCTACCGGGTATAAGACGGTTTTCAATTTTGAATTTTTTTTATACAAAAATTAAGGAAATTAATGCTTTTTTTTAATTATATGTTTATATTTTAAAACACTAAAGAGCATTTTTTTATTTTTCTAAAAAAATTAAAATGTGTTAATAGGTTTAAAAAAGAAATTAAGAGTATTTGTTAAAGAAAAATATTTTTAAAATAAATTAACAATTTTTATTAATTTTTTTTTTTAAATTAATAATATTAATGGCTCAAAATATTTTTATTAATTTAGAAAATTCTTTAATAAAAACCAAACCTCTCTCGAACTTCCGCGCCTTCCTTTCTCCCAACCTCTCCGGCTTTCTTCTTCTTCCGAAGTCTTCTCCTCACTGTGCAGTAATTTGTGGCCGCCAATCCGAATCCTTGTTCTTATTTCATTTGTTAATCACACATGAATTCCCTTCATCGCATTGGAAAATTCTATTCAACGAATAAGAATCGAGTTCTTGATCTGCCTCTGCAAATCAAACAATCCCATTTCGGTTCATCCTTCCACGGTAGAGCCTTGTCAAGCAGATCTTCTTCCCCTACCTCCGGTTTCGGGAAGTTTGGCAATGGCGACGATGAGTGGAATGATACTTGGGAATCTGCTTGGCTTCCGCAAGACCTTTCGCCGAAGAATAAAGCGCCATGGGAGAGCGATGTGAACTTCCCGTCTGGAAACCCTACGATTGTGTTGCCGTCGGATGTGGATGCAGAGACGAAAGCATTTGTTGAGGATATGAATGAGAATTGGAACGAGAGGCGAAAGGCATCTCAAACGCAGAAACAAGGAGTGGATCAGCAAGAGATGGAAGGTGATGGTGGCGGCGGGTCGCTTTATAGCTTGGAAAACATAAAGAAGGATTATAGATTGAAGAAACAGAGGATTCATGCTAATTTGTGGATGAAGGAGATTGAGAAGCAAGAGGAGGCTAGGTTGGGGGATTCCATTACAGGCAGTGGAGATGACATTGAAAGATTGATGGATAGCTGCTCTGAGTGAGTTCTTCTTTCTCTTTTGTTAATGCAAATGGTTAAATCCTCATGTTTGTGGTGTTTATCTGCTGATCATTAGTAAAGGTGTTTGTTAATTGGATTCGACCCCAAATTTTTTAGATATATGAAAGAACACAGAAAAATCATCTCTATGGAAAGGATTTCCAACACTAACTTAGAAAATAAAGGTTCCAATCCAAAAGAATTAGACCAAATAGACAATTACAAAAAGTTAGAGAGACCAATGCCCACTACGAGGGATTGAATTTAACAATACCTTAAGCCCAAATGATAATAACTTAGAACCATTGTCTTTAAGAGCTGGCTTGGTGGACCCCGAGCGAGCTAGAGATTAATGGTATGGTCGTGAGCATAATCTAAGGAGGGGTAGCTCAAAACCTGATCATGAATGCATTAGATATTTACCTAGACTAGTAGGTTCTTGAGTGGATCCAATGTTAGCTCCAAGACATTGGTCTCTAACTAGAAATGTAAATGCTTGAGCTTGAGAAGCTTCGAGTCTGGTCGGCGTAAAACTCACTCGTACAAAAGAACACAATAAGGAAAATATGTCTGCAAGTTACTGCCTTGCTATTTTTTTTTATTTCCATTTTTTTCTTGAGCTAGCACAACAAGTCTAAACTGCTATGATTGCAGGATTTTTGAGTCTGTCAATGATGATTTAAACCATTCAAAAGTTCCAAGTTCCTCAGAGTTCAGAAACAAACCAGATGGATGGGAAACGACATCCAAAGGCCACGAGGGAAATGTATGGGAGATGACACAAAGGGAAGAAGACATTCTTCTTCAGGAGTTCGATCGTCGTATTGCATACAACAAATTTCAGGTGTGTTAATATTTCCTCGTTTTGCTATTGTTGTTACCACGCTTTATTTAAAGAAAAAAGGCTTCTTCTGATAAGTGACAGAACTTGTCATTAGAAAGATGAAATATACAAGGGAAAAGAAAATTTGTGTAATCGTGCAACACAAAGGAAACAAAGAGCACTTAGATAAACGATATAATATTTTTGTCAACTTGAGCATAGTTTAATTGGTTTTAGCATGTACCGTTCACCAAGAGGTCAAATGTTAGATTACCCACCCCCATTGAACTAAAAAAATAAGCAATAAACATCCCACAACTCTGTTGAAAACCATTCTTGTAAGCTAAATTACCAAGCTTGAAATGTACATAATCTTAAGACTTTATGGCTTCTCGTATAATTACTATAATAGCTCATTTATTGAATGAAACAATAAATAATTGCTCGTGGTATCATTTCAACTAAATCCAGAGGTAGTATGCATATAACATGGATTAAGAACTAAGAATTTTCTGATCTTTCTGGTTGTAGCTGTCAAATTCTGGCTCGGTTCACTGAGACCGGGTTGGAAAACTCTAGTCGAGAAAAAATCACAGAAGAAAACTATAACCGACTCGTCTATGACAGGACTAGTGTTATTGCATTGTTTACAATTGAAATGGTTAATGAATTACCGATAGTGTGATGTTACAATCTTAACTTTCTTTAATCAAGGATATCATTTCGTTCATTCGGAGTTCACCACGCCCCTCTATGTTATCCCTATACACTGTTGTTGCTCTGGATTTTCTTTCATTTCAGAAACTCTCTCTTTAGCGTACTCGTTACCAAGTTGCTCGTTTTCATGTGCAGATTGCTAGTTTCATCAAGACCCATATATTTAGTCGTCGGAGACCGATAGATGGGTGGAAATACATGATAGAGGAATTTGGGCCAAATGCCAAGAAAGGAAAAGGTAGTGTTTCAAGGATGCCTAATCTTTCTGATTCTTCAACTCAACCCTTCAAGGAGGAAAGAGTTGCAGCTTCCCCATCTCTCACACGCTTGAAGAGGATTTAACTCTATGCAAGCTACTTCTCGGATCATCTGCCCGACTCGAAAAGGTTTGCAACCATTAGAAAAAGGCATCTCATTCTCTCCAAGTATGATATTATGTTGGTCATATTGATGTTTGCAAGTGCTGATTGTAATCTGAGTATCCTTGCCTGATATAGCATGAAGCAAACTGAAAGTTATGCATTTAGCTCATAGAAGAAGAATGAGTATTAATTTGGGAGACGATTGATATCTATAATGTTAGGGTCATAGGAGGGAATTTATGTTTGGTTTTGGTTTAGAAGGTTTTGTTTTCCTCTGAGAACGATACTCTTTTCATCAGGAAAGTTGTTTCCTTATGTACAGCCAACCAGATCGGATTGGGAAAGAATGAAACTGATAGGAACGAAATGCACATCAAGAAATCAGCTAAAAATGGAGCTTTGAAGTTCTTTTGAAATACTGCTGAGAGAAGTGTCAAGTTTTAGAGTCTCAAGTTTTAGAATTTAAGTATGCTGAGAGATTTCCACACGTTTATAAAGAATGTTTCGTTCTCCTCTCCAACCAATGTGGGATCACACAATCCACTTCTTTCGGGGCTCATCGTCCTTGCAGGCACTCATTCTCTTCTCTAATCGATGTGGGACCCCCAGTCCACCAGGCGCCCATTCCTTACGTGGGATCCCCAACCCACCTCTCTTTAGGGCGTAATGTCCTAGCTAACACATTGCATAGTGCCTAGCTCTAATACCATTTTTAACAGCTCAAGCCCGCTATTAGCAAATATTGACCTCTTTGGACTTTCCCTTTTGGGCTCCTCTTTTAAAACGCGCCAACTAGGGAGAAGTTTCCACATCATTGTAAAGAATGTTTCGTTCTCCCTCCAACGGACTAGGTACCAATTACATGGACCAATTACATGGACGTGAAAAAATGAAATCTAATTATATCAAGACAAGAAATTAGTTCACATTTCCATTCTAGTGCAAAGTGCAAGAATACAAGATACATTAACAAAGTAACTAACAAAAAACTAAAATAATAATGTGAAGATAGTTGTTTTTCAAGATTATAACAAGTAAAATGTTTGTTTATTAATTTAAATATTTTCAACAAAATTTTTATTGAAATATTCCTCAACACAGCGGAGAGATTCAAATTTCTTACCTCTTAATCGAAAATGCATGTCTCAACAAGTTGAACGTCTAGAGCTGCTCGGTTTCAAAGCATACCTTCTTTTCTTTTTCTTTCTTTATTAGCCATTTAAAAGAGAACTACCAAATAACCTTAAAAAACAAAGTGTAGTTTCAGATGAGAATTGCTTGGCATTCGTGCCCAAGAAACAGAAACAGAAACAGAAACAGGATTATGAGCATTGAACTTTTGCTGCTCTCTATAGCTGAAAATTAGATATGGATCAATAAATAATGTACATGTAAAACCAAACTATATTCAGCGTTGGAGCCACAAACATGCAGCTGACTCTCTGTAGTATACCTTACTGCAACATTCTCCCTACATACCCACCATACCAATACCTTTTCTACCAAAGATGCAGCTTAGAAGGAGGCTGAACTAGTTCTTCGCAGCTGATACTTCGGTTCCGAGATTGGTTCGCTTTGCATCGTGTTCTCGAATTCCTACTTGGTTAGATGAAAAAGGGTCAGTAGTTGAAAGATCAGAACATTATTTTAGTTCACTGAGATGGCGAGAGAGAAAACCAGGCACAAGAATCATTTGAAACACAAATCAAAACTATATATACATAGTGGTAAAACAACAAATCTGCATCTAGTTCATCAATGAAGAAGACGAAATATACTTGCATTTGATCAAAGCGGACATTGAATATCAAGCATAATCAAACCGAGAGTCGAAAACTAAACACTGAATGAGGTGAACTGAAAACTAAGAATAGATCCTCTTTGCACTTCGATATTGAATTGCTGCAGTTCATACCTAAGACATGTGACTAATGTTTTCTTCGAGTACGCTTCATCTATTTCGTTTCTAAACTTTAAAAAAGTGTAATCCACCAGAACAGCGATGTGAGGAAGAGGAAAATCTTCTTTTGGGCTTGCCTTAGACGTCTTTGGACTCACGGAACCTCTGGTGTTGTATCCAAAGAAGGTCCCCACTCGAGGAGCCTCGGGTGTCGGTCCTGAGGCCACGATTCCGGCTACCTAATTATGCAGGAATCCCTAGTTTTCCTCTCTGAGGTTGATTGAATCTCTCATTATCAGATACATCTTCTCTACATGGATCCCATATCTATACACTATGAATTATGATTTTATTAAGTTGTTGTCTTTAACAACCTTAGGAGTATACTAAGCCAATCAGAATAATGGTGGCCAATTTTGTATCAGGTGACAAGCAAATGAGAGAGACAATATTATTTCATCAGTAAATATTCCATTCTTATAGGATTGCCATTACAGCAATAGTCTAAAGTATCCGTTGCTCAGAATCCCTTCGACCATATTTACTCCCTCAGGACATAGTTTCTAACAAACTTCTATCTTCTTTGAACACTTCTGCTTTTATCTTTGATAGATCACCCTCACCCTCTAGGGCAACTTTAGCAGCTCTCAAAATGGTGAACAGGGGCCTTAGCTGAAAATTCTAAATTGTAGTAACTTCCAGATATTCTTATCTTCACCTTCCCACTTGTATTCTCCCTAAGATCTGCAAAAGTTCACTGAATTCTCTCCACTCAAGACTCAGTTATCAGCCTAGCTCCATGCCATTATATTCCAGGATTTGGTATTTTCACCCTACTAATCATAGTGATAGTTCTTTGGCACTTTACCACTTAAAGCATAGGAAATTTTGAGAGGGGTGATCATCCATCCGGTCCGGGGCTTGTTGTCCTACATTTTGTGATCCAGAGCTTCAGTCTACCTGTTTAGTCTCGCCGCAATCCAATGTAGATTTCTAATTAAAATGTTAGCCCCAGGTTTTGGGCGGTCCATATAGTAGGGGCAGCTATCACGTCAGCTGCGTACTCCCCGTACGTGCAAGGATGGCAGAATAAATTTTTTTTGCCATCCAATTCTGATGGTAAAACTCTCCCTATATGCTTAAGTTTGATTTGTGCCCCTTATCACTCCCATTAATGCTAGCTAACTATTTTCTTGTTCATTCTTTTTTTCTTTTCTTTTACGAGAAACCAATTGCATTGAGACATAAAAGAATACATGTGGGCATGTTAACTATTGTCCAGTTCAACAACTCCCGTGTTAATGGGGAATCTCCTTAGCCATTAAAAGTGCCTCATTTCTCTTCCTACTATTACCACTGCCTAGTCCTTCCATGATACCTAAGCTAAGGAAGTTGTCTCCTATTCCCGTGTTAATGGGGAATCTCCAGTTACTTTTACAGACCAAATAACTGCAGCAACTATCTCAGTTATTTTTTCTCATAATAGAAACCTTGAGCCATAAAATTCTCCACCCTATTGAGCTTAAAAGCTTCACGACAGATATCCCAATGTCTCTTAAAAAAGAGCACAGCAACACATTGTCATTATTTGTGCACAAAATATAGCAAGAGTTGAAAGATGCCCGAATTAAAATTCTTGTATCCATTATTTACAGCCTCCAAGGAGAAGAGTTCAAAGAGAAATCGCAAACAAAAGTGGAGATGACTTGACAAAACCTTTCATTTTCTAGTCAAATGCTTAAGCAAAGAAGAAATAGAGAGTTCCCAGGAAATCTACATTCCACAATCTGCCATCGCCCTTATCAGTAAGACAGAGAGCCATTCTTCAACTTCCATTTCATTAAGATTCCTCCTCAGCCCAAGTTCCAACAAACATCAGTATTATCCCAAAGATCCTCAGTTCTGTCTTTATCAAAATAGGTGACAAACGAAATGGATTATGTGAGATCCCACGTCGGTTGGAGAAGGGAACGAAACATTCTTTATAAAGGTGTAAAAACCTCTCCCTAATAGACGCGTTTTAAAACCGTAAGGCTGACGACGATACATAACGGGCCAAAAAGGACAACATCTGTTAGCGGTGGGCTTGGCTGTTACAAATGGTATCAGAGCCAGGCACCGGGCGGTGTGCCAATGAGGACGCTGGCCCCCAAAGGGGGTGGATTGTGAGATCTCACATCGGTTGGAGAGGAGGACGAAACATTCTTTAAAACCTAGAGGTTGACGGCGATACGTAACAGGCCAAAATAGATAATATCTGTTAGCGAAGGGCTTGGGCTAATACAGAGTGGGACCTTTCAAGAATTGTGAGAAGGAAGGAAAAGTATTTTTATCCTCCCATTCTCGGTTCTAATTTGTAAACATAAGCTAAATAGGTGAGTACTAATTTATAGGCTGACTCATAGGCACCAAAATTTAGCACATCTTTTTTCCTTGTGCCCTTTTTCCTTTTGACCTAGTGATAAACTAATAATTATTCCTCAAGAATGTGGGTTATTTCATTAATGAATGCCTCTTTTGTTCCCATCCTATTGAAAATTAAAACCCCAATCATAGAATTGGCATTGAAACTTAAAATTCAATAAATCAAGTAGGCATAAGGGTGCATGACCACACAATAAACCACATGCAACAAAATCAATCACCTTCTCTTTCTTGAGCTTCAAATTCTCCTCTTCAAGGCGTGAGACCTTATTCACCAATTCATTATGGTAGGCCTACATTTGAATCAGAGGATTAGTGCTTAAATATAAGAAATAATTAGTCCTTTAACAGGAAAAGCTTCCCAAATAATGACCTGTTTTCTTGCTCGAGATCGAGCAGCAGACTCCCTGTTCTTGATTTTCCTCTTTAGCCTCCGGTCCATAGTCTCCTCAAATGTGTCTGAGGGATCCCTTCCCCGTTTTGGTGTTGTATCTGACAGTGTGCCAAGCGAAGGGAACGACGACAACAAGCCGATTTTCTGTGAAAAAGTCTGCTCATCCATAGAATCAATGGCATCCAAGCTCATAATGGGACTTGGAGAAGCCTCAGCATAAAGCCCTGCTTGTATCAAGAAATCCTCTAAAGTGATATCACCAAGTGTAGTCACGCTACTCTGAGTTTTCAAATCTTCACAATTCTTCTTCTTCTTCTTCCCTTGTTGAATCTCCCTCCACACATCATCAACAGTCTTCCCACTCAACGCTCTAGCCAGTGTGAAACTGGCTTGACGCTGCAGAGAATACGCCGAAGAGGAACTTTCACTCTCCATTTCCATGGATTGGTTGTCTTCAGCTGCCCAGATGTTATGAAGAAACTCATCAAGGTTCATGCTCCCTACAGGCTTCCCCAATTCACCTAACTGGCTTTTAACCTCATCAAGAGTACGACCATACCATGAATTTTGTCTCATCAACGAGGCAGGTTGTAAATGGGACTGTTGGCCGTTCAATTGTGAACCCATCGTTTGAATCCCCATCCACAACGCTTTCAAAAACCAACCTCAAGGTCTGATCTATCATCATCAGAATCAAATTTTCACTATTAGCCGTAGAATCCAGAGTAAAACTAATTCACACAAAAGTCGATTTCAATGAACATCCGTATATCATCGATCATTAAATACGATTCTCATACAAAACGCAACAGAATCAAGCCAGAGATACTCGCGATCGTCTCTCGATTTCCCGATTCCTCGAGAAACATCAAGGATCAATAAATCCATAAACATAAACATTGAGAACCGATTGTTTCGCATCACTACAGTAGGAGATTCTTGAATAAAGAAACATCCATGAAAAAATAAGTTTGTGAAGAAATCGATTAGAAATACGCACCTGTGGCAGCGAGGAGATGAATAGATTGGATCTGAGACGACAAGTGGAAGGAAGAAAATGAAGAGTTAAATGATTTTTTCTTCAACTTTCCTGAATTGTTACACACGTATTTTCCTTATCAGGGAATGATAATCGGAGGGAAAAATTTATGAGATCCACGCACGAACCCACTAATTCTTCGCTTTTTCGATTTCGGGTGATCAAATTGGATGCAGCCTCGTTGCTGCCAATGGTCAATGGATAATGAATTTACAACAGAAATTATATGCGTTTTCTTGTGGCATATCCATTTCCACAACTTATCAATCTCAAACTTAAATTTCATTTTGGTATCGAGTTAGAATTTTCTTTTTGTTGATCGACAATTCGAATCAACTCTACTCTAACATTATTATGAACATCGAAAATATTTGACGTTTGTAAGAGATGTGTGACATGTGAATATTTGATATTTGAGTTTTATGATTTTATTGTTGTGAACGAGTATGACTTTCTTAAATTATTAAAAAATATATGAACAACCCGACTCCGAACTGGGCCCAACCTGAAAATATAGGACGAGTTATGAACCCTATTTGAGTCATTCGAGTTACCAATTTAACAAACCCGAAATTTGGTGTCCAAAAAAATTTATGTTCATATAAATCAATGTCTCTCCCTCAGTAATATAAACTTTTTTAAAAAATTTTATTTAATTTAAAATTATATTTTACCAATTACGATCATAAAATATGAAAATTATAATTTTGAAATATCTGGTCATATATATATATATATATATAAATAAATAAAAAAGTAGATTCGAAAATGTAATAAAAGTGCATTTGTATTTTCTTTTAGCCGATAACTAAGTTTCTTCACAATTATAGGTAGTTTAGGTTGCATGTTCATTATACACGATCAATCTTACTTATGGAGTTATTCGAATCTCATAAAGTGTTTTTACCTTGAGATATTCGATAAACGAAGTAATTTGAATCTTACTTTTTACTAGAGTAATTTCTTAACGTTTTGGAGTGCTTAAATATTTAGATCTATTCTTCGATAAGGTTGTTAGATCAAATTCTCGAGCGTTACGATCATTTGAAATAAAATCAACTTGATTTCGGAGTTTAGCATTTGTGAATTAGGGGTTTGCATATCCAAAGCGTTTACGAACATTATTATAGACTCAACTAGGGTTTCTATATCACAACCCAACCATTGCACTCCCGAAATCATAACTTTTAATGCTTTCGAAAGTTCAAATCTTTGTACTTCATTTATTGTATTAAAAGATGCATTATATTTTCAATATATTTTAGTTAATAATATCGAGATATTATTTCTATTTAATTTTTTATTACGATAAGTGGGTACGAGAATTTAAACCGTCGTTATCAATCCGTAAATTGATATAAATTGTCATTCATTTTTTTTTATATTTTTTAAATATTTTTTTATATTAATTTTTATATTTTTAAATGTTAAAATAGATTAAATATTTTTTTATAAAATAATTTTAAGTCGCACTAAAATTTAAAATAATTTTATTAATTTAAAAAAATATGATTGATTTCAGTTGTTCAACGTGTGAACTTTATTTTACTTTCTAACAATTTTATGTTGGGTGACCTCTTGAGAATTTTTCTAGAATGCACGTGAGCAAGGACAAAACATGTTGAAATAAGTTCTGTTGGTATGTGAGAATAGTCTTCACCTTTTAGAAGTGATGAACAATTAAGGTGACCATGTCGCAGAGAATGTAACAAAATGTCGGGGACATCCGGTATCGAGTCCAGAGACAATCTTCACTTTTAGAAGTGATAAGTATGTAACGTGACCATGTCGTAGATGATGTAAGAAAATGTCATAATCATCGTGTCGAATCTAGATTTCGAATCTTGAGTATGGGTCGTTATATGAGAAATAGAAAAATAGAACATTACTAAACGAGATTATATATATATAAGTAGAAATGAGGGAAGTGTAACGTCCTAGTATCCGTTACTCACAAAGAGCAACTACACAGTGTGATCGTTAAAGATGCCTATTAATTTGCAAGCAGAATGCGTATGAGACCTCATCGAACATAATAAACGAGGAAAATGTAACGTTTCAGTACCCGTTACTCACAAAGAGCAACTACTCAGTGTGATCGTTAAATATGCATGTTAATTTACAAGCAGAATGCGTATGAGACCTCATCGAACATAATAAACGAGGAAAATGTAACGTTTCAGTACCCGTTACTCACAAAGAGCAACTACGTAGTGTGATCATTAAAGATGCGTGTTAATTTACAAGCACAAAACATATGGGACGTCATCGATGACCTCTTGGCAAATATTTTTAACGTTCAACAAAGAAGCAATGACTTTGAGCCGTTGGATGAAAATGTGTTTGGAAGTGAAACTTGTGGCTGTGATCATCTCGTAGATTAATTGATGCCTAAATTATATTCTTTTCATATTTTGTAACAATTCTTATTTATTTTATAATTATTTTATATGTTAATCCTTATCTTTTAGATGGGACTTATGATGCTTTCATTTTTCTTTTTCTTTTTCTTTTAATATCAAAATTTATTTTTTTAAAAGTCGGTGAGCGGGAATCAAATTATTAGTGAGCGGGAATCAAATTATTGCTTCGTTAGACGTTAATTTATATTTTTATCCACTTAATTATGTTCGGGTTAGAATTTTTTTATAACAAAATTAAATTTCAACTATAATTTTTAAAATATCAAACGTTCAATAATTCGAACTCCGTCCCATAATTATTTGGTTTTTTAAAATATGGGCTTTTTAATTAAATTATTCATCAAATTCGAGGATCAAAAACAAATTTTTAGAATTTTTTTTTTTTAATACTCGACTTGCTTTATAAAAATTAGGTAACAAACCAAATAAATCAATAGGTGGAAGTAACAGCTATATCAAGCGGAACCCTATTTTTTAAAGAATAGTTTCGAATATTTTGTAGCTACGGACGTTTGCTCTTTGGAGAGCACAGTACGATGAAAGTTGTAAGCTGTGTTCGGGAGGGAGTTATTGTCTATCGTTGGCCTCTATGGTAGAATCAGTCGGGGGCCTGAGAGGCGGTGGTTTACCCTGTGGCGGATGTCAGCGGTTCGAGTCCGCTTATCTCCAACTCGTGAACTTAACCGATATAAAGCTATATGATAGCACTCCATTTTTCCGATTCGGCAGTTCGATCTATGATTTATCATTCATGGACGTTGATAAGATCCTTCCATTTAGCAGCACCTTAGGATGGCATAGCCTTAAAGTTAAGGGCNNNGCGAGGTTCAAACGAAGAAAGGCTTACGGTGGATACCTAGGCACCCAGAGACGAGGAAGGGCGTAGTAAGCGACGAAATGCTTCGGGGAGTTGAAAATAAGCGTAGATCCGGAGATTCCCGAATAGGAAAGGTGGTAACGTGATGTCCCAAGTTGGTTGGAGAGGAGAACAAAACACTCTTTGTAACGGTGTGGAAACCTTCCACTAGTAGATGTGTTTTAAACATCTGAGGGAAAGTCTGAAAGAAAGTCCAAAGAAGACAATATCGGGTGACGGTATATCTGGGGCGTTACAAATGGTATCAAAGCTAGACACCAGACCATGTGCCAACGAGGGTCAAGGAGTTAGACATGAGGCGATGTGCCAGTAAGGACGCTCAACCTCAAAGGGAGACGATTTGGTGGGGTCCCACATCGATTGGAGGAAGGAAAGAGTGCCCCTTTCCGAAAGGGGTGGACATAAGACCCACATCTATTCGAGAAAGGAAAGAATGCCCCACCCTGAAGGTTTGACTTTAACATTTACCGTAAATATCGTCAATTATAAATTTTAAAAATTCTTAAAATGTATAGTAGGGTTGAGTTGGGTTATACCCGACCCAAAAATTTAAACCTGCAAACCAAATCGAATTGTCGATTTCTCAAAATTTCAACCCAACTAAGAAAAATCTAACTCAATCCAACTTTTATGATCTGAATTAAGTAGCTCAAATGGTCGGGTTACGAGATTATATAAACACTATCAATTTCAAAATTCATAGGTTAAAATAAGGCTTTTTTTAATTGAATTTAGATGAATTACCTTATTTGATAAATTCTTAGAATTTGACCTTATAAAATTACGTTATTCAATCCGCTATCTAAATATTCACTATTTTGGTAAAGATATTAAATCCATCCTTAAAGACAATAAAATGGAAGACGAAATAATGTGGTGAGGAGGACCCGCCATGGCCGATGCCTTCAAACCCTATGACTCCGCGGTCTTCCTTCCAATTTACCCAAATTAACAAACACTGCGGCTTCTCTTTCTCTCTCTATTGCTATCGTTTTTCAAAAAGCGAACAGCTAATTTTTTTTTCTCTCAATTAATATTCCAGTTTTTCTGGCTCTGTTTGGTAATCGAGTCGAGGAGCTTCTTGCGTATATCTGATCCGAGAATCAGAGACCCGAAAATCTTCTTCAAGGAGTGTTTTCAGTCGTCTGTAAGTCTAAACTTCACCATTTTGTGTCTAATTTTGAGATTTATAATGGGTTTTTCTCTATGTGTTTTGGGTTTTTGTTGCATATGTGCTTGTTTTCTCTCTCGCTCTATGGGTTTATCCTGGTTTTTTGCACATTTTGGGGTTTGTGTGTGACTGTGTTCTTCAATTGTTGTTATAAATTGCTGCATTGTTTGTCTCCTTGTGTTTTTGATAGGTTAATTTTGGGTACCAATTCGTGTTTTTGTGTTATTTGGAATGATGCTTTCTGTGATGGCTGTTGGGTGTTTTATGAAAATAGAGAAACGCATCAGGCAATTAGTAATCAATGATGTTTATTGTTTTCTATCAAGATAAGAAAGAAAAAGTTTGAGGTTTTTTTGAAGTTTTTGAAAGAATGATTGATTCGATAAAGCTAATGTGAGATCCTACATCGGTTGGAGAGGAGAACGAAGCATTTTTTACAAGGGTGTGGAAACCTCTCCCTAATAGACATGTTTTAAAACCTTGAGGGGAAGCTTGAAAGGGAAAGCTTGAAAGGGAAAGCCCAAAGAAGACAATATTTGCTAGCGGTGAGCTTGGGCTATTACAAATGGTATTTGAGTCAAGCACCGGGCGGTGTGCTAGTGAGTACGTTGGGCTCACAAGGGGGGTGGATTGTGAGATCCCACAATAGTGGGAGAGGGGAACAAACCATTCCTTATAAGGATGTGGAAACCTCTCCCTAATAGACATGTTTAAGCCCAAAGAAGACAATATTTGCTACGAGCTTGGGCTATTACAGCTAAGCTAGATGGTCGTTACTGAGCTTGATATTTTGTCATCTTGTTTTTTTTCCATGGTTTCATGGCGAATCTTTAGCAAAATTATTCAATTTCCCTAGAAATAAATTTGTTGTTAAAAGACATATTTCACTTATTGGTTCTTTTGGTTCTATTTTTTCTGCTAAACAGACAAATCTTGTGTTTTACAGAGTAGGCGGCCTAGAAAATGACAAGGATAAGCCGTACTTATAATGACACAATGCAAAGAGAGGGTGTCTCAGCTGTATCAGCGGATGTGATATTTGCTTCCAGTCGTTTTCCAAACTACAAAATTGGAGCTAACAATCAGATTGTGGAGGCAGTAGATGATCCCAAAGTACTATCTATGAGGCAGGTCGTTGCTTGCGAGGCTGCCCAACTTTTGGAACAGCAGAAACGCCTCTCGGTTCGAGACTTGACCAATAAATTTGAGAAGGGTTTGGCTGCTGCTGCTAAGTTGTCTGAAGAGGTTAGGTTTTTTCAATGAAAAGTTATGTTTACTACCAAAACAAGAAAACCCTTTACTTGTACATAATTTTTTTATAAGCTAAATATCTGTTTTGGTATTGCTTCATTACTATCTATTGGAAAATGCTTGAAAGTTCATGGATGTATTAGACTCAAAATTGAAAAGTAGTTTTGTAGGAGACCAAATTTTTGTGTCTGACATATCATTCAACTATTTGAGGAACCGATCAGACACTTCTAAATATCGGGGTGTATTAAACACATAATTCACCTATTATAGACATGTGAGATCCCATGTTGGTCGGTTGGAGAGGGAAACGAAGCATTCCTTATAAGGGTGTGGAAACCTCTTCCTAACAGATGCGTTTTAAAACCTTGAGGGAAGCCCGAAAGGGAAAGCCCAAAGAGGACAAAATCTACTAGTGGTAGGCCTGGGCTGTTACAAGACGCAACCTTCAAAGTTCAAGACTAAACGTATATTTGAATTAAAATGAGAAATCGTACTTTTAAAACTATCTTCTTTTAATTCTTTAGCGGTTCATAAACCCGTATCTCATGTAAACGAGTAATGAAAAAAGAGTTTGTTTCACTGTTGCGTATACATTTAAACTTTCTTTAGATATCAAAATCTTATTAGTAAAACTATATTTATTTGATCCATTCATTTGCTTGATTTGATGTAAGTGGAAGAATATGGATCAGTTCCCTTTGGTGAGTTCTTCTTTCATAGTTCCGTTTCACTCTCTAACTTGGGGAAATCTTCTTCTTCTTCTTCTTTATTTTTGTTTTTTTGTTTTTTTTTTATAAGAAACCAAACTTTTATCGAGAAGGATAACATGATTGAGAAGACTGAATTTTGGGAAATTTGAAATTTGACGTTTATACCGAAAATGTGCGAAATATAATCTAGTTATTTGTGCAATTCAGGCTAGACTAAGAGAGGCAGCTTCAATGGAAAAACATGTCCTATTGAAGAAGCTTAGGGATGCATTGGAAGCATTAAGAGGACGTGTCGCCGAAAGGAATAAGGATGATGTAGAGGAAGCAATTGCAATGGTAAATTTTATGATGTTACCTTTTAGAGCATGCTTTTGGAAATCTTGTACTTGATTTTTAGATTTGCAGTACTTTTAAGTTATCTTGGCCAACAAGTAAGTTGAAACTTGAACTTCATCTAGGTTGATGCACTAGAACATTTGGGCCTGCCTTACTATGCCATCAATGGCATGTCATGCCTAGACTCCATATCTGTACAAGATAGTTTTGGGTACTTGTTATGTTTTAACATCTCTCGGCCAAGTAAGTTAGAACTTGAAATTTTCAAGTAACTTTCCAGGAAGGTTGCACAGCTTAAAAGTCGGAGGAAAATAAGAATAAGGTTAAATTGTAAGTTTAGTCTTAAATTTACGTGTTTGTATCTTATAGGACCAACTTTAAAAAAAATTTATCGGTCCCTGAACTTTTTACTTTTTTGTCTAATATGCCTTTGACATTGTGAGATCCCACATTGGTTGGATAGGGGAACGAAACACTCTTTATAAGGGTGTGGAAACCTCTCCCTAGTAGACGCGTTTTAAAATCTTGAGGGGAAGCCCAAGAGGGAAAGCCTAAAGAGTACAATATTTGCTAGCAGTAGGCTTGAGCTGTTACAAATGGTATCAAAGTCAATCACCGAACGGTGCGAGACACTGGTCGGAGTAGGGCTGGACCATCTCCCTAGCAGATGCGTTTTAAAATCTTGAGGGGAAGCTCGGAAAGGAAAGCTCAAGGAGGACAATGTCTGCTAGCGGTGGCTTGGGCTGTTACAAATGATATCAAAGCCAGACACTGGGCGGTGTGCCAACAAGGACGCTAGTCCCTAAGCGGGGTGGATTGTGAGATCCCACATCGGTTGGAGAGGGGAACGAAGCATTACTTATAAGGATTCCCTAGTAGACGTATTTTAAAACCTTGAGGAGAAGCCTAAGAGGGAAAGCCCAAAGAGGACAATATCTGCTAGTGGTGAGTTTGGACTGTTACAGACATATTTAATATTTTTTTTAAACTAACGAATCTATTACACATAAAATTGAATGCCTGTCTAATAGGACATTAAATTTCAATTTGTGTCCAATTGGTTCTACATTTTAAAAAGTGTAGAACTGGTCAAGAACCTATTAGACACAAAATAAAAAGTTTCAAGAACCTATTAGACACAAAATAAAAAGTTTAGGGATTTATTTGAGCTTCTATAAAATTTAAGGACCTATTAAACCCAAATTTAAAGTTCGGGCTCGACACAAATCTAAATTTCTAAAAGAATTTATTAAGAAAACCCTTATTGGTGATGGATGAAGTATCCTTGAGTTGTGCTTGTAAGGTAGTCAGCCACGTAACATGAAAAAGGTTCTAATGATAGCAATTATTTGGCTAGACTTTTGGCTCGTGTATCGTATAGTGAAATTTTATCTTCTTCGAATATCTGCTATTTTGCACAAGGGTTAAGGGTCGCCCGGAATTTTATGTGATTGTTACGTTGAAAAACATGAAAAATAATCTTCATCCCTACATGATAGAGTTGGTATATCGTGTTCCATGGCTGCCAACGGATCTGTACTAAGTACCATACTGGCACGGACTTTCTTCGTCGCTTTATTACGTAAGCCTACATCTCTGAAATCTAGTATAACAATTTGGTGCTTGATTCTGCATATTGCAGGTGGAGGCTTTAGCAGTTCAACTTACTCAACGGGAAGGGGAATTAATACAAGAAAAGGCTGAAGTGAAGAAGCTAGCTAATTTTCTTAAGCAGGTTTGTTAAGCATTCTAATTAAATTTGTGTACACATACTTGTTGGTCATGTGGGGATCTGGCTCTCGAATACTCGTTGGACATGTGTTGAACAATTGTTTAATGCTTAAATTACAGTGCATATGACTACAAGATGAAGATTGATTTTAATTTTGCATATGATGTTGAATGAATTATTTGCTTTTTAAAATTTGGTCTTTCACAAATGATTTGTTCGTACTTTTTTCTGTTCCAATGTTGAGAGTTCATTGTGCTGTGTAGGCATCGGAAGACGCTAAGAAACTCGTCAATCAGGAAAGAGCTTTTGCACGTGCAGAAATTGAAAATGCAAGAGAAGCAGTTCAGAGAGTGGAAGAAGCCCTACAAGAACATGAACGAACATCTCGTGCAGCTGGGAAGCAGGTTTCTCTTTTTCAATTATTGCACGTGCAGAAATTATTGTGTTTTCCTTTGTTTATTCTCTTATGAAAATTTATGGGATAGAGTTATAGTTAACATTAAGAGCTTTCTAGTTGGTAGCTGGTAGTTTAATGATTGAGTAGTTTATGGGATAGGGCTATTAACTTACTTCTTGAGAACGTATATGTAATAGCCCAAGCCCACCGCTAGCAGATATTGTTCTCTTTGGACTTTCCCTTTCAGGCTTTTCCTCAAGCGTATGCTAGGGAGAGGTTTCTACATCCTTATAAAAAATGTTTCGTTCCCCTCTCCAACTGATGTGGGATCTCACGATCCACCCCCTTCGAGGCCCAGCGTCCTCGCTTGCACACCGCCCAGTGTCCACCCCCTTCAGGGCGACACATCGCCCAATGTCTGGCTCTGATACCATTTGTAACCACCCAAGCCTACCGCTAGCAGTATTGTCCTCTTTGGGCTTTCCCTTTCGGGCTTCCTCTCAACGTCTTTAAAATGCGTGTGCTAGAGAGAGGTTTGCACACCCTTAAAAAGAATGCTTCGTTTCCCTCTCCAATCGATGTGGGATCTTACAGTACAATATGCGAATTTTTGTATTAGTTATGTCTCTACATTCTTTTCATGGGAAATTTTATTGTAATTTCTATATTATGTTTTCAGTTGGAGGATTTTTTTATCCTCGTCTTTTTATTCTTAAACTTTTTTTTGGTTGTATTTATATGTTTTTATGTTTTCTACTAGAGGGGGGAAAGAGAGAAAAAAACTTAGGCTTTCTTATCTGATTATATGGTGCATTGTGTTGCTGCCTTTTTTCCCTATCTATTTTCAATAGCTCATCTAGCACAATTCATTAACATGTCAGGACCTGGAGGAACTAATGAAGGAGGTTCAAGAGGCTAGAAGGATCAAAATGCTCCACCAACCAAGCAAGGTCCTCATTCTTGATACTGTTATTATCATACAACTTACCCTTGTATCTCTTTTAAATTGATTTAAGTGGAATATATATCATCTGTTTGCTGACAAAGATCGACTCTCGATGTGGTCCTTTTAAGCACGGATAAATTTGATAGCGTGTTTATGCCAGCTAGCTTTGTGGCTCGGGATTTAGTTGACTTTTCTTTGTCTTCTCCTGCTCATTTGGTAAAGTATGTCTAAGACTTGCGTATATGCAGGTTATGGACATGGAACATGAACTTCAGGCATTGAGACGACAACTTGCGGAGAAGTCGAAGTATTCTATACTACTTCAGAAAGAAGTAAGTTTGTTCTCTTGTGATATGAGCAATTTCTATTTCTGAGATTTTTTGGTTTATGCTGGCTTAATAGTTTTGGAAATTGGAAGTACTGCATGTGGCTTGAGAGCGATCCTTTTGTATGCAAATTTAAAAAGAACACTGTGAGATCTCACATCGCTTGGAGAAGGAAACAAAACATTTTTTATAAGGGTGTGAAAACCTCTCCCTAGCAAACGCGCTTTACAACCTTGAGGGGAAATCCTTAAGAGTACAATATCTGCTAGCGGTGGGTTTAGGCTATTACAAATGGTATCAGAGGCAGACATTGGGCAATGTGCTAGCGAGGATGTTGAACCCCAAAGGGGGGTGGACACTTGCCAGCGAGGATGCTAGGCCCTAAAGGGGAGTGGTTGGGAGTCCCACATCGATTGGAGGGGGGAAGGAGTGCCAACAAGGACGTTGTGCCCCAAAGGGGATGGATTGTGAGATCCCACATCGGTTGGAGAGGGGAACAAAACATTCTTTATAAGGTGTGAAAACCTCTCCCTAGCAACCGCGTTTTAAAACCTTGAGAAGAAGCCCGGAAGGGAAAGCCCAAAGAGAACAACTCCCTCAAAGAAATTTTCTCAAATTAAAAAAAAAAAACGTTAATGCAACTCTCTCAAAGAACTTATTAAAGACCTTATGCAGATTCACCGTAATGATCTCCCGATTTCATTTCATTCACGCACGTATAGATTCTGTTTTATTTATTTATTTATTAAATTATCCTGATCTCGTTTCTTTATCCCGTCACCGTTTCCAGCTTGCAATAAGCAAGAAGGCAATGGGAGACAGTTCCAACTTTTACGAGATAGATGGTGCCGAGTTGTTGGGTTCTTATCTCCATATCCAACCTTCTTGTGATACAGCTCCAGACGTTTCAAAATGCTCTATCCAATGGTACCGCATAGCACCTGAAGGTGGCAAGAAAGAACTTATTTCAGGTACTCCAAACATATAAGGTTTTAAGTTTTAATTTCGTAACGCTAAATGCTCAGTATATTTCTTCGTTTTATTATCATAGGAGCTACAAAATCAGTTTATGCTCCCGAGCCTTTTGACGTCGGGAAAATATTGCAAGCTGACGTTAATTTAGATGACCATAGAATCACTTTGACCACCACTGGCCCCATTGATCCAGGTATACACGAAGCATATAACGTAATCAATAATTCTTGTTTTCGTTGCTATCATTGTTTGGCGATTGTTTTGCATGAATTCGTGGAACGAAACTAAATCTTGGCTTTTCGAACAGCTGCTGGTCTGGGAATCTATGTTGAAGCCCTCGTGCGGAAACATGATGTCGAGTTTAATGTACGTTGTCCTTCTCTTTAGAATAGGATTATTGCTGGCTAGTTTGGTCCTCTGTCCTTTTTCGTGGTTGTCGAGTGGGGTCAACGACACTTCTCAGAATTTATAGAAGGATATTTTTTTGAGCTCCCTTCTTTGTTTCACTTGGTTCATTATGGGTGGGGGATAGAACCCTTTGTTTTGCGTTCCCTTGTCTCTATCATTTGTCTTCCTTGAAAAATCGTGTGGTGTCTAGTTTTTTGGTATGGTTGGGGAGCTCAATTTCCTTTTAGTTTGGGTTTATCGCGCTTTGACCGATAGGAAAGCGACGGGTGTTATCTCTCTCTTGGCCTTTCTTGCGGCGATCATTTTTAGGATCGGGAAAGGGATGAGTCGATTTTTTCTACCTGAGGGAGGATTAAGATTCCAAGGAAAGTGAAGTTGTTTACATTGCAAGTCTTACATGGCCGAGCTAATCCTAAGGATCGGCTTGCAAGAAAAACGCCCTCTTTAGTTGACCCGTGTTGTTGTATTCTCTATTGAAAGGCGAGGAAGACCCAAATCACATTTTCTTTGGAGATGTGATTTTACGAGATTCATTTGGAATTTTTTCTCGTTTTTCGCTAGCTCGACATAGGAACACTAGTGTTATGATCAGGGAGTGATCGGTTCTGTGAGATCCCACATTAATTGGAGAGAGAAACGAGTGTTAGCGAGGACGTTGGGCTCTGAAGGGGGGTGAATCGTGAGATCTCACATCGATTGGAGAGGGGAACGAGTGCTAGTGAGGACGTTGGGCCCTGAAGGGAGGTGGATTGTGAGATCCCACCTCGGTTGAAAAGGGGAACAAAGCATTCTTTATAAGAGTGTGAAAATCTCTCCCTAGCTGATGCGTTTTAAAAACCTTAAGGGGAAGCCCAAAGAGGACAATATCTGGTAACGGTGGGCTTTGACCGTTACAGGTTCTTATGGCCGGTTGGAGTGAGCGAAATAACATATTGTTTAAAGGGTTGGAGAGGAATCCTAGTGATGTATGGTCCCTTGCTGGATTTCGTGTTTAAAATCTTTTATCGTTCGTCTCGAGCAACATTATTTTATGGAGTAGGTAAACTTTCTCGTGTTTTTTCCAATTCAGGTAGTTCTTACTCAGCTGAATGGAGTAAATCATCCATCCGAGTCGATCCACGCGCTCCACGTCGGAAAGATGCGGATAAAGCTCTGCAAGGGAAAGAACACCATCGCTAAAGAATTCTATTCTTCATCAATGCAGGTAACTTGTAAACCAGTAAGAATTGTATCAGTTTGGATGTAAGCATCTTGGCTTACTCAGTCTCTTCTAACTCTCATTCTTGGCCTTAGTTATGTGGAGTTCGGGGCGGTGGCAACGCTGCAGCTCAAGCGTTGTTTTGGCAAGCTACGAAAGATCTTTCTGTCGTATTAGCATTCGAAACCGAGAGAGACAGGAACGCAGCCATAATGCTAGCCAGGAGGTTCGCTTTTGATTGCAATGTATGTTCCTCCTCACACTCTACTACAACACTACTAACATGAAATCTTCACGTACCGATAAGTAGGATGTCGTATACATGAGCGTTTTGAAATATTTTATTATGATAGGAAATAAAACGTTCATTGATAGGATGAAAGGGGCGGGAGGAAAGTTGACCCCAAGTAAACGGAGTTTATGTTTAAAACGAACTATCAACTAACCAATAGTTCATTTAAATGGTAGTTTATAAAGGTGTGACAGGTTAAGTCCATTGCTAGCAGATATTATCTGCTTTGTCTCGTTATGTATTGCCGTCAAACGGATGCGTTTTAAAACCTTGAGGGGGAGCCCAGAAGGGAAATCCCAAAGTGGACAGTGTAACAGCTCAAGCCCACCGCTATCAGATATTGTCCTTTTTGGGTTTTTCCTTTCGGGCTTCCCCTCAAAGTTTTTAAAACACATTTGCTAGGGAGAGGTTTCCATACCCTTATAAAGAATGATTCGTTCTCCTCCCCAACCAATGTGGGATCTCATAGACAGTGTCTGCTAGCGGTAAACTTGGACAGTTACAAAAGGATTGAAATATAGAACTAAGATCTACTCATTGAAACTCTCGTAGGAGACAGTCACTTGCACTCTCTGTTCACACGGTTCTCAAAGTAGAGGAAAAGAATTCGATCTTGATTCAAAAATAGTCTGATAACCAAAGAAAACTCTAGTAACTTGTCATGCTAACATGAAACTGATATCGAGAGAGATTCACCATCGTTCCTCTCGAGTATCAGTTTCACCCCTTCGTTTTCCATTTTCTTCTGGATCTTGGATCTTATGCTTATGACATACATACTCGTGTTGAGCAGATCGTTCTTGCTGGACCGAACGACCGAGCTCCATCACCGAACTGATGAACCTTTGTAGATCTCGATCTCGATCTCCCCTTAAATGTAAATTGTCGTTAGTTCCTATTATTACTCAACATTTGATAGTAGTAGAATTTGGTGACCCTTCTTTCCTTCTAACATTAAGGCATCATGTTTTTTTTGTTTGCCTTTCTGTTTCAGAGTCCTAACGAAGTATGTCCTCTGTAGTTCTTCTTACTTTAACATGATTCATATTTGCATGAATGAAGCTTTGTAGTTTAACTCGACTGTTTCTGTTCATTTTTTAAGTTCGATACCGAGCTATAAATATCGAAAAGCGTCGAAGAGACTCGCTTTTGTTGTCGTAGTAGGAAGAAGCAATCGAAAAGCACCGAAGAAACGGGCTTTTGTAGCTGTAGGAGGAAGAAGTTCAACGTTTTTGTTATTTTATACGTTTATCGGCTTTTTAGTTAAGATCAAGCAGAGGTGTTCGTGGGTCGGGTTGAGACATTTTAGACCTAACTCAATTGTAAATTTTTCAAACAATTAAATAATGAATCTAACCCAACAGTAATCGTTGGTCGGGTTAATCGGGTCATTTAATGAAATTTATATATATATATATATATAATTGTATCATTAACGATCATTAACAACATATTGGAGTTTGTTCAGTTCGAACATAATCCAACTTATAATAAGTTCGTAATCATTTGAATACGAAAGAATGGACAATTATCATTTGAGTTTTCGTCAATCGAGCATAGCTCAATTGGTTAATAATGTATACTTTCAATTAAAAGGTTAGTGATTCTGATCTCGACCCCACATATCATCGAACTAAAAAAAATTACCTGGAAGTTCTAAAATGAATACCGTAAATAATTAGCATTAGATTAAAGTATTTTATCCTAAAAAAAAGTATTTTCAAGGAAGCTAAGACATGTTATGATGTCAATTGTTGAAGTCCAAGGTTTACTAATTATCAAATGAATTAGTTTATTTGCAAATCTAATTATAAAATACTTATTATGAACATAAATTTTTTACTTTTTTAAGGTTTAAATAAATTAAATTACCCATTTCTTCTTCAATTTATTATATTATTTTTCCTTTAATCAATCTTTTATTTTATCTTTTGACTTCAATTTTCACAATTTAAAAATTAATTTGCTACATTTATTAATAATTTTTTTAATTAAATTTAAATTTATTTCTTGAAATTATAAATTTTATATTTAATAGATTCTTAAAACTTTATGTATGGTATAATCATTGGTTTTTTTTTTTTGGTATTTTTAAAATTTCATGAATTCTATTAAATAGAAACTTTAAAATTTAATGTCAGATCTAAATTTCAATCTTTATCTAATATATCGATTAATTTTTTTTAAAAAAATTGAATACGTCATAAATCGATCAAACACAAAATTAAAAGTTCAAGAACGTATTAAATAGGTTATAAAGTAATTTGATCTAACAAAAATAAGAACGAAGAAACGAGAATCATTTCGTTGTTATGTTCTTGATTCTAAAGGATAAGATTTTTGTCAAAAAAATATATATATATCTTTTACGCCAAATATTTTATCTTTTCAATACTTTTTCTTTTATATTCAACATTTTTAGTACATTCTTTTAGAATATAATATAAAATAAAGGTTTAAATCGAGGACCGATAAAAATTCAAACGTCCACATGTAAGAAGTATTACTAATACCTTGAATGAGGTAGCGGTGTTCGTCCGTCATGAGTTAAGTTGAAAGATTTTTTAGATCTAAGTCAATTGTTCGAGTTGTAAATTTTTTCAACCAGAACAACCTTTATTAAGTTGCGTTGGCTTGGGTTGTTCGAGTCATTTATTTAAATTTTTGTTTTTAAGAAAAATAAAATAATAGTTCGTAAAATATTTATTTATTTATTTTCAAACATTTAATTAGCTCAAATTCAATATATATATATATATTTTTTTTTTTTTTTTTTTTTTTTTTGAGAATTTGGGAAATTCTGAATTTCTGTGATTTTGATAGCCACACACAGAGAAAGGAACAAAATTTGGATGCTAAAAGCTTCGCTTCTTCTCTAATGGCGTCAATGGCGTCGGACAACAACTCCGGCTCAAACTCTCGCCATTTCTCCTGGTTCATCAAATCTTGCTTCCCTAACCCTAACGATTCCTCCGCCACCGTCCCTGTTCACTCCAAATCTTGCTTCGAAACTACTAATATCGCCTCCAATCACCTCCCCCCACCCCCTGCCGCCGTCTCCTCCCTTCCCGACGACCTTATTTTGGAGTGCCTTTCCAGAGTTCCGTCCGCATCTCTTCCTTCCGTTTCTCTCGTTTGCCGTCAGTGGTCTCGCCTTCTGCTTTACTCTTCGTTTGTCGATCTTCGCCGTCTTCGCGGTCATTTGGAGGATACTGTTTATGCTGTTTCTGCAACTAATTACGGCCTATTTGCAGCGAGTTTCAACTTCCGAGACGGCGGATTGTGGAAGGTTGCGCTGTTCAGAGCCAAGGAGAGTTTGTTTCTTAGTAATTTCTATGGATTGCTCTCTCACGCGCGCCTCTCTGCCATTGGACCTAGGATTTACCTAATCGGCCGAAATGCGATGTTCCTTTACGATACCTGGTCTGGAATGGTCACCGCCAGATCTGCGATGAATTTCTCCAGGAAGAAATTCGCCAATGCGGTGATTTCCGGTAGAATCTACGTCGCTGGCGGTGCTGCGACCACGACGGCGGTGGAGATGTATGATCCAGAGACGGACTCTTGGCAAGTCGTTGCTCAGTCAACGAGAAGACGCTACGGTTGTATCGGAGCCGCTGTGGACGGTGTGTTCTACGTGATTGGAGGATTGAAGATCGGGGGAGGAGTTTCAGGTAACCTAACATCACGCGCCGCTGGTGGATCGGAGGCTCATATCTACGCGAGCTCCATGGATATGTACGATGTGGAGGCGCGTACGTGGTTGAGAAGTCGCGCCGTACCTGGAGGAGGCTGCGTGGTGGCGGCGTGTGCGGCGGCGGGACATATCTTCGTCCTCGCTAGCCACGCCGTCGAGCTCTCGTTCTGGAAATTCGACGCAAGAAGAAAGTGCCCTAACAACTCCAATAGACACACCACCACCCAAACCGCAACCAAAACCGCCGGATTCGGCGAGTGGTACAGAATAAAAAGTCCGCCGCTCCCGCCGCAGTTCCGGCTGGACAGCACGGTGAGATTCAGCTGCGTCGGAGTGGGAGAGACGGTGGTGCTGATTCAGGTCGCTGGCTGCATCGACGATTTACTCCGCCGAAGCGGAAGAAGCGCAAGAGGATTAAAGGAAGGTTTGGTACTGATCTACGAGACGAAGAGCGGAGATTGGAGAAGAGGAGCGGAAATGCCGGAAGTTATGCAACGCGCTGCCTGCGTGTGCGTCGAGTGCTGATGACGCGCCGCCGCGAGACGGAAACGGTAAAGTTCCCAAAGTGAGCGCGTGGTTTTCACGAAAGCGAGTGAGAAATCGAAATCCGATTGGTTGATTAGTCAATTAATTAAACAAAAACATGATTAAGTAATTGAAGATTTATTTGCATGGGGCTTTGAATCCTTTTATCTTTTTCTTTTTATTTAATTATTATTATTGTTTTTTTTTTTTAATTGGGGTTTGGATTTTTTTTCCAGGCTCGAGGTCCTGACATCACTGACATGTTTATTATTATTATATTATTATTATTATCTTAATATTGGATTATTTTTTTGATAATTTTAAAATTTAAAGACTATAAAAAATAATATGGTCAACTTTCTTTGAACTTTGAGGGATCTCCAAACTAATTGTTGTACTTTTTAAAATTTGATTAAAAATTCAAATGTTTATTTAAAAGAGGTAAAAAAATATATAAAAAAAACAAGCATAAGGTATAATTTAAAATTAAAAAAAAAAACATATTTTTTATTATTTGAGTTTTATGTCTGTTTCTTTACCATTTGTCGGTAAGCCTTTCCCCATTCTTATAAATGTTAAACGTAAAAGAGATATATTAAGATAATCTAGGATTTACTAGTTTGTTACCAAATCTATGATTTGAAGAGTTTGTTACCAAATCGTAGTTTGTTTATCAAATCATAGAAGGGTTTGTTACCAAATCTATGATGGTTTGTTTATCAAATCATAGATTTGGAATGTAATCTTCATTATACACATCTATAAATACATGAGATTATAAATACATGAGGTCGTGACCCATACAGGTCATCGTGCCATTCAATCTAACAATAAACACATTTTGAGTTCTTAAGTCATTTTTAATGAAAATGAAGCTTTCAAAATTTTGCTCGATCTTTGGAAACATGTTTCAAAATTAAGCTTATATGACGTCTATTATAAGTTATTTTTTGTTTTTAAACTTTTTGTTTAGATGTTTTCCTAAAAATAGTGAAAATCATCTAAAGAAAATTATGAAAAAAAGACATTAAATTTAGAAGTATTAGAAAATGTCTTTGAACTTAAATTTTTTTTATAAGCTAAAATATCACATTTTTGTATTTTTAATAAGTATTAAATGTAATCCCTTTAATACTTATTATTATTGTTATTATTATTTAATCAATGTAGATAATAATAAAATATATATATATATATTGAAACACTAAATTTAAGATTTTGTTTGGAAGTATAAGGGGAAATATAAATGAACAATTAAAAATGGATTAAACGGAATGGAACCAAAATGGTATTTTATTTCCTTTATATTTTTAAATTTATAAAAAGGATAAAAATTGGAAAGAACAAATTACAGAAATATGAAATCAATTTAATAATGTTCTAATATGTCAGATCCATTCCATTTTTAGCACTAATTTTGCAACACTTACGCAATTATTCCTTCCTAAACTGTCTATCAAACAAACGAACGAAATTGTAATTTTGCATTCAAATTTGAGGACAAAAATCATAATCAAAGCAAAATAAGAAATTAAATTTGAAAACCAAAATAGAATCAAATAAAATGAAAAAAAAAATAATAAAAAATTAGATCCAAAATTGGTCGTTCTTGGAGGCCAGGATTGAAATATCTGAAAATTGGAATGTTTCAATGTCCTTTATAAATACACAGAAAACATACAAAAATATCATATATTGATACAAATGTAAATACTTGTGACAACATTTATAACCTAATTAGAAAGTGAAAACAAATTAATTATCAAAATTGAAAAATCGAACCCTCCACATTAAAAACTTTTTGGATCATTGATATTTTTAATCATCGTTGGGAGTTTACAATTAGAGTTAATCTTTA